AATGTACACAGTTACCATTCAATAAAAAAAAAAACTAAATTATTATATTTTACAAATGAGAGACATTTTATGAGATATAACATTGATATAGGATTTTCTCACTCAAGGTTGGAAAGGGAACCCCCATTTTTCAGGCTCAGGTGAGCTCAGATATTAGACTCCTATCTCCAGGTACAAACTCTCTGAGTCCCAGCAAGGTCATGAACAAAGCAGCCTGAAACCTTTTGGATGCTCTACCCAGACTAAGGAGTACACTTCTTACTCCTTACTAAGGAGTAATCCTTACTAAGGATTACTAAGGAGTAATCTTCTGTATCTGCTTCTGCCTGGCTCCATTCTTTCACATGTCTACTGCACACAGACATGATTCACAAGCCAAGGACTTTTCTGTGGTTCTGTGGTTCTAGGCCTGCAAACTCCCAGTTCAGTGCAAGAGACCTTGTCAGAAGTAGTACTCTTTTTCTATTGGATCTGCTATTGCTAAATCCCTAACAAAGTAGGAGGGAAAAAAGTCTGGTAAAGTTACTGAGAGCCCAGAAAGGTTTTAAAGTTAGAAGTCCCCAAAAGGATAAGTAATGAAGTTAAATCCACGTCATCAGCTCTTTTGTACTCCATTTTGGTATAAGGATGTTTTATAATATCAGATTTATTTAGGTTTTATCTATTGTTTATGGTTTAAAATGTTCAAAATCATCAGCTCTACTGAATTTCTAATTAGTATTTATGTTTAAGGCAGTTTAAGTTTGTAATTGTTTAAATATTCACAAGGTTTTCAATGTTTCATAGGATCTGATTTAACAAACTGAGCACTAAAGCTGATGCAGCAGTGCATCTTCCTCTCAAGCCCCAAACCCCTCAGACACTGAGCAATCTAATAATAAAACACAAAAATATGCTGCCTGTTGAGGAACTCAAAGACGCAATCTTTTTTAGTGATTATGTAAATAATTATTATTAAACTACTTTAAGAGATAAATTAGAGGTTCTCTGAACTTCACTGATTCATTCATTATTATATGACTCAGTGTTACAACAAAAGATATGCCCACTTGAAACTTTTTCAACAGTGAATTTGTTTTAAGAAAGTAGGCTGACGGCTCGGCGCCTATAGCTCAACCGGCTAAGGCGCCAGCCACATACACCTAAGGTGGCGGGTTCGAATCCCCAGTCCGGACCCGCCAAACAACAATGATGGCTGCAACCAAAAAAATAGCCGGGTGTTGTGGCGGGCGCCTGTGGTCCCAGCTACTTGGGAGGCAGAGGCAGGAGACTGGCTTGAGCCCAGGAGTTGGAGGTTGCTGTGAGCTGTAATGCCACGGCCCTCTACCCAGGGGGACAGCTTGAGGCTTTGTCTCAAAAAAAAAAAAAAAAAAGAACGTAGGCTGACTTACTGACAGAACTCAAGTTGGTTTTTTTTGAGTCTCAAGCTGTTGCCCTGGGTAGAGTGTCAGGGTATCATAGCTCACAGCAACCTCCAACTCTTAGGTCCAAGTGATCCTCTTGCCTCAGTTTTTCTCTTCTAGTAGAGACAGGGTCTTGCTTTTGTTCAGGCTAGTCTTGAACTCATGAGCTTAAGCTATCCACTCCCTTTGGCCTCCTGGAATGCTAGGATTATAGGCATGAGCTAGCACACCTGGCCAGAACTTAAGGAGTTATGCTCAGACATTTGGCCAAATTCAGTAGTGCCCTAAGCATCCCAGTAGAACAAAGTCAATTAAAAAGCTATCATCTTGGCTCGGCGCCCATATCTCAATAGTTAGGGCACCGGCCACATACATAGGGCTGATGGGTTTGAATTTGGCTTAGGCCTGCTAAACAACGACAACTACAACAATAAAAAGCTGGGCGTTGTGGTGGACACCTGTAGTCCCAGCTACTTGGGAGGCTGAGGCAAAAGAATGGCTTAAGCCCAAGAGTTTGAAGTTGCTATGAGCTGTGATGCCAAGGCACTCTACCAAGAATGACATAGTGAGACTCTGTCTCAAAAAAAGAAAAAAAAAAGCTATCACCTCATTTCATTTAGGTAAATATTTGCGGCCTCTTCAGAGCTATAATTTGAGGATAACCTAAGGTGCTTTGTAAAGAGACTAAGATGTGCAGTGACAAACACTGGAGCTGCTGTCCAGGGTGATTCTGCATCTCTGGCTCCTCTGGGTAAAAGCTAGCATATAATCTGCTCCTTGGTAATCCCTGTCCTGCTTCCCTTAATAGGTAACTATGTTGAAATGATAATGTATACAAATGCAAAGGATCATTATTAACAAACTTTTCTGAAGATAAAAGTTCTTATGAAAAGCAAGAAATTGCCCCAAATTCATTTCTTGAAAGAAGTTGGCAATAAACTAGATATTAGGATAATAATCTCATAATTTCCTTAAGAAAAAAAAAACAGTAGTCACCAGAATTAAGCTCTTTATACATCTTTCTTATTTCAAAGGGTAATGGAAGTTTTTAGGGTACAGAGAACATTTCAGGTACTTGGCATCACAGAGCCAAGACATTCCCAGAACACACTGAGCCTCAGCATCTCCCCTGGGGTCCTAAAGAAGTGGCAGTTGTAGAAAATCCAAGCAGAATTTACAGAGGGGAAATGTTAGTGAAATAAAAACTCCAAATCAAGAGTTGGCTTTGGGCTTGGGCTACGATCCTTCAGATAGCCAGACAGGATTAAGGTCTAGCCAAAGAAAAGCACATTCCCAACAGTAGTATAAGAGACCTGGAGGCAAGTTAGCACAAAGAACACTCACTTAGGGTGAGTGTTCAGCAGGTGTCAAATGTGTAATCCTTCAGTGATGCAACATCCTCCTCCCTGCGGTGGAGCTCGCCCCCCCACCCTTACCTCTTTGACCCATTGATTCATTTAGCATATCTTTACTACTGTCTTCTCTGTGCAGAGAACAAAGAGAGGAATCAGACATACTCCTTGCCTTCAAGGAATTCAGAATATGATTTTAAAAATATATTTATACTTAAGTCATTATGATTCAAAGTAAAAAGGATACAAAGTGGTATCAGACACATCTGGCCTTCAAGGAATTTATAGCCTAGCAGAGGCTGAGAGGGCACAACACAGACAATAATAATACATGGCAGGTAGCCTGTGGTAAGGACCACAGGGAGGCTCCTACTGTGGACTCTGGCACTCCAGAGAAGGATGACAAGGCAGCAGAGAAAACTTATAGCCTATGAGTGAGCGGCCTAATCTAACCAAAGTAGAGATAGCAATTCCTGCTACCCCACAGAGGAGGCAGTGCAGCCTCAGGCAGACCTCTGTGGGTCCTTTGGGTTACCCAACAGACAGCATGCAAAGGCTCTTACCTGTAGCTGCATGGCATCCTCTGGATATCTGGGGGGAGACTGGGGACCGGGAGGAATAGGTCCAAATGAAATGTCCAAGCAAGAAGGGCCTGAGGTGACTATCAGAAGCTGGAGCAGGACCAGCAGGCTGCCTGGGCAGACCAGTCTGAGTGCATATGAGCAGCAGGAGGCCCCACCCACTCTTCCTGCACTTCCAGGGTGAGCCATGTGGTGCTGGATGCATCCACTTGAAGGGTCCACCCACAGACAGGGTGGTGGCTGCCAAGGGCAAAGGCCCATAGCCTACTACATAGTCCTCCCTTGGCATCTACACTTTATAGGCCTCCTGCCTGCTTTCCTCTTTTCTTAACAGCTGCCACTGCCTGCCCTGTCTTTTCCACTCTACCAGTCTGACAGCAGCTGAAGTGGGCTCAGCTAGGCTACCAATATCATGGTGGAGGCCTGGAGTAACTGGCATGAACAGAGTTGGAGTACCTATAGCCACCTTTACAGGTTACCTGGAACATGGGCAAGTTAAACCAGCTTAAAGGTACAAGATTGGCTAAGCTGCTGGCCTGTGCGAATCTCTCCCTTCCCACAGGCTTCAGGGAATAGTTCAGCCAGTCATCATTTCTTCTTCATAGCAGCTACCACCTACAACCACCTTTCTAGCCTAGGCATCAATGTCTGTGCCACTTTCTCCTTCTTCCTAAGGTGCCAAGACTCTGATCTGTTCTTTTTCTTCACAGCAGCCATGACCCACTCTGTTTCTCGCCTGAGTCCTTATTCTAGATTTCCTCTGTCCCCAACCCTATTTTCTTACTATACCTGAAATAAGGATATAGGGTCTTTCCCAATCAAGAGTTTTCATGCTAGTCATTATAAAGAAAGAAATATGAAGAAAGGGGAAGGAGTAAGTGGAGGCCAATTTAGAAATGGACCTGTTGTAACTATAGATAGGAGATATCTCTGGTCCACAACAGCTTGGAACTAGCTTGACTTCCTTCTTGGATAGTCCTAAAGAAATCTTGATATGCTCATTCTCTTAACCATTAGCCCTAATTATAGGGCTTAGCCTATAATGTTGTTTATTCCTATCCACTGACAGTACAGTACTCAGTGAAGCTGTGCTGAATACAGAGTTTCTCCCACTCAGGAGGGAGCTGCCTTTTTAATCCTCTCCCCTTCCCCAATTCCTCCCTGCACCACCAATCCTGCCTACCCCTACATGCCCACCACCCTCCACTTGCCAGTCTGACAGCTCGTCCCTGACACTGGGCTTCATAAGGAGGAAGCATTACTTCCTCCAACAACCGAAGGTCCTGCATGTCAGGCTAAATGTAAACATTGTTTAGTAGGCCACAGTGATTCTGAACCAAGAAATAGCAATAGACATTGCCTTGCATGATGCACTTAGGAAAAATGTATACAGGCCAGGTACAGTGGCTCACACCTGTAATCCCAGTACTCTGGGAGGCTGAGGTGGGCGGATCACCTGAGCTCCCAAGTTTGAGACCAGCCTGAGCTACAGCGAGACCCTGTCTCTAAAAATAGTCAGCTGTTGTGGCAGATGCCTATAATGCCACAGTACTTGGGAGGCTGAGGCAAGAGAATTGTTTGAGCCCCAGAGACTGAGGTTGCTGTGAGATATGATACCACAGCACTCTACCAGGGCAACAAAATGAGACTCTGCCTCAAAAAAAAAAAAAAAAAAGTATACATGCATGAATGAATGATCATATCTGTGTATTAGGAAAATTACTTTGGCAAATGTATGAGAGGCAAAGGGAATAATTAAAGGCATTCTCTTTCAGTGACTGTTGCACAAAAAAAGATACTTTAGGCCATGAGCTCAAGCAATATGCTGAAGTCAGCAAAGTTAATCTCTACTTTCAACTTGTTAGGACTGTCTTCCACTTGACTGGTACAATTGCAACCCATAGCCTCCTAGGCTATATCCATGACTAAGACTTGCTTACCATGGTCACTACCCAGCACCAAATATATTTAGTTGATACCAGTTTAAGGCATTATTCTCCTGAAAGAAGAACAAAAAATAAATCTCTTGTGATAGAATCTCTGTCACAATAACAGACAATGGTAGAAATAATCAAGGACAGGAACAACCAAACTGGTCTCATCTGAGATACACAGCATTGGCCAAATTCAGCACCTAAGCTATTAGACAAAAAGGCATCCCTACTTCATGAGTAGTGATTCCAGGAGTTCCAAACAGGCCTGATTCAGAGATTTGGAAGTCCAGATCCAATAGTGAAGACCTTCTCCACAGGTAAAGGAGTAGCTGAGCCAAGACATTCTGAAAACAGCAAACTTGAAGGAAACCCAGCAGCCTGGACAAGCCCTTGGACAGATGATTCTAGACACACTGAAGATGCAACTAAGACAATGAGATCAGGAGCTGTCATCACCCCAACTTGTAGCCCAGTATCTACAAACTATCCCCCTCAGTTGCATTTGTTTTCTTGAATTTTTTCCCTCTTCTATCCCCATAATCTGTGAGTTCCTTGAAGGCAGAGATAGTAAGAAGCTTTGTCCAGAGTTTTAAAGTCCTAACCCATGTCTTTTTCATATCAGGAAACATCCTAACAAATGAACTTCAGGCTTATCTTTTACTAGGGTAATGCCATCAGATGCAGTAAGCAGATTATCAAGGACTACTGGCGCTGAGCTTCTTACTTTTCTCCCAAGAAAATGATGCTTTCTGGATGAGGACAGGAAGGTCAAACAGAGCTATAAGTTAAAGAAGGTAAGAAGATTTCATGGTTCTACTATTTTGTCCAATTCTTCTAGAATAGAGAACCTATAGAACTCTGAACATGATGAGAAAGATGAGGGTATTTTTGTTATTAAATTGGAGCAAACAATACTAGTCTTCTTTTCTGCCCTGACACTGGCTTGCAACCTCATATTTGGATGAGGGGCAGGCAAGTCATTTGATGATATAAGTCCTCTGAGATCAGAAGTGTTTTAAGTAGTGACAACTAACTGATCATGGGGCATCTGGTACTCTGCCTCTTCTAGAAATGGGAAGACGAGAAATCACAGAACCAGTCTTTTCATTTTACAGATCGAGACCTGAGGCCCAGAGTTCAGGTGACATGTCCAAGATCCTAAAGGGAGCCAGCGGCAGAGCCAGGACCATATCATGGTCTTCCAACTCCTAGTTCAGTGCTCTTTCCTCTGCAGTAGATATGGCAAAATTTTCACGTTGTTCTTTGGAGTGGGAGAAGTGAAAAAAGGGAGGGAACAAAATACTGTGTTTGGGGATTCTCTGAAGATTCTAGTAACCTCTATTATTCTGGCTGTGGCTGCCATTTCCTTGGAAAGAAAGTTGAGTCACAAGCCAATTAGTTAGACTTGAATTGACTTAAATTCCTACCAGGGCTGGTGCATTCAGTCCCCCTGAATGTGGGTCAGGACCTCTCGGTTTGTAAACAGACGGAAGGCAATCTGCTCACACCCCTGCTTGGTCCCACATTCAAACAAACACGCAAACAAGCCGTCCTCCTCCACAGCAGCCAGATCAGAGTAGCCACAGGGCCCATGGTGCAAAATCCATGGGTGAGACCAGCAGGCAACTTCCAAAGGGGCCTGGTTGAGGTAGATACCTAGGTCAACCCTCCGTTTGCTATTGACTGGGTGTGAGTACAAGAGCCATGATTGTGAGGGTATTCCAGCTTCCTCCTCCAGTCTCAGTGAACTGTCTGGCAGAGTCTGCTGAATGGTGGGAGCATCTTGGCCACTAGGGTTCTGGCACCTGTGTAGGATCTGCAGGGGCAGGAAACTTACAACACTGCCTTGGCAGCCATGTGGGGGCTCACGGAGCTGTTGGCTAAGAGCTGCTCTCTGAAAACATTCACCACTGTCAATGCTAAGAGCCTCTGCCCGGCATCTGTTGGGTGTCCGGGCACTGCAATATAGCACGGAGTGACCAGTCCTCCCAGTCACCTCTGCCACTTCACACTCCACTGTCACCAACGGCCTAATGAGGCTGCCATGGTGCCAGGTGGCTCCTAGGTCATCACTGAAGATCATCAGTGAGTGAGGCCTGACTCGACATGGTATCCTCAAGCAAGAGAACCAGTAAGGGATGTAGTAGGTGTATGCAGGGATGACCAGCCTACCCGACTGCATCTGAATGCCATGACCTGGACCCACAGCAAATGTGGCCCAGTGCTTCACCTCTGGGCCAATGACCTCCTCAGTCAAGTCCCTGACCTCACTCCATGAACGCCCAGCATCCTGACTGCAGATAAAGCAGAGGCGGGCCGCATTCCTGCCTGACACAATCTGTTCATACTCCGTGACATGGCCCCGCACACAGATGAAGAACAGGAACACATAACCACTATTCTTCTCCCACACAGGACAGGGGTTCATGGTGCGGTGACCAGGCAGTGTGGCTTCCATCAGCAGCTTCAGGGGTTCCCACTAGACAAGGGGACATGAGAGAGAGAAAGGAGGAGTGAGATACTAATAGGAAAATATAAGGATTATTAAAAGCATTAGTACTTTTCATAAACAAAAAAATGAATGATATTGAAATCTACAAAATCATGAAGGCCCAAGTGTCACTAAGTACTCAAATATTACAGGATGATTCATAAAGCTGGAAAAAAACAATGCTTAAATATTTTACATGTTGTCCCCTCTGTCTAGGATGATCTTTCTCACTTTATCTAGACTTTCAGGTTGTTTTTTTTCGAGACAGAGTCTCCCTATGTTGCCCTCAGTAGAGTACCATGGCATCATGGCTCACAGCAACCTCAAACTCTTGGGCTTAAGCGATTCTCTTGCCTCAGCCTCCCAAGTAGCTGGGATTACAAGTACCTACAACAACATCCAGCTTTTTTTTTGCTGTAGTTGCCGTTACTGTTTTGCAGACCCAGGCCAGGTTCGAACCTGCCAGCCCCAGTGCCCATGGCTGGTGCCCTAGCCACTGAGCTACAGGCGCTGAGCCTATCTAGACTTTCAAATCATCCTTCAATAGCCAGCTCAAAAGTCACCGCCTTTATGAAGCTTTCCCTTAATTCCCTAATAACTTAGAGCATGTATTGTGTAACACTGTAATCTTTTTGTAACTCTCTCCCTTCCTAGATTACCAGCCTTTTGAGGATAGAAACCAAATTACACTAATTTTTTACGTCATAATTGGAACTAAATAAAAGTAGGAACTAAATAGATAGGATACTATTTATAGGAACTAAATAGGAACATTAGGAACTAAATAAATGTTTTTACAGAGAAGAGGGAGAAAAGAGTAAAGAAGAAAAGAAAAGGAAGGAAAGAAGGGAGAGAGGAAGGTGGGGAGGGAGAGAGGAGAAAAGGAAGGAAATCAAGGCAAACAAATAGGGAAGTTCTAAGAAAATAAAGGAAAATTTAAGACAATGATTTTTTTTCCTTCCTGTACTACATTGGGAAAGCAATTCATAACAGTGTTGTTAAAAGTTCAAGCTTGGAGTCAGAGGCACCTAGTTCAAATGCTGCTTTTTATCACTTTTTTTTTTTTTTTTTGAGACAGAGCCTCAAGCTGTCCCCCTGGGTAGAGTGCCATGGCATCAAAGCTCACAGCAACCTCCAACTCCTGGGCTCAAGCGAGTCTCCTGCCTCAGCCTCCCAAGTAGCTGGGACTACAGGCGCCAACCACAACGCCCAGCTATTTTTTGGTTGCAGCCTGTTTTTTGGTTGCAGCCATCATTGTTGTTTGGCAGGACTGGGTTGGATTCGAACCCACCAGCTCAGGTGTATGTGGCTGGCACCTTAGCCGCTTAAGCCACAGGCGCCAAGCCGTTTATCACTTATTTTGTGATCTTGGTGAATTATTAATACTTAGTCTTATTTTATCTGAATTTCTGCTTCAGTTAAATGGAGAATTTAATAAGGTCCTCACAGAGGAGTTGTTACAAGGATGTAATGAGATAATGCCTAATCAGACATATTACAAAGAAAGCTCTAATCTCCCTAATATAATTTTAAAACCATAAATGATACTAGACATTGGTAAAATGGGTAAAGGACAAGATTAAACAACTCCCAGAGAAAGAAAAAAAATGAAAATATGTTCAATCTCACACTTAAAAAAGAAAAGCAAATCAGAACTAAACTGACATAGCATTTTACGAAGTAGCAAAATCATAAGCAAAAGGGACTTCTCATTACAGGAAACTAAGTAATTGGGCCAACTTCCACTGAGAACTAGAAAAGATAGTTAAAATACTAAAATAAAAAACTGTTTGAAAGCATCAGAGAGCAAACAAGGCAATGATGAATTAATTACAGGCCAGGAACTCAGAGTTCATTCAGAGGTTGGCTGAATATTTCAAGTTGTTTTTCTCTTCAAGGTATCCGTATGAATTTACAAAGAGGTATTTGTCAAAGAGGTAACTGAGAAGCTGAATAATACATTGGACAGCCTTTTGGGACTAGGGAGCAAAACTTGGAGCCTCTGGTAAATCTCATATAATTTGAGACAGAATATTAAAGGGCTAAAACCTAGGAATAGGAGGGGAACTAAGGCAGACCAGCCCTTCCAACTACCACTCCGGAAAAGTGGCTAGCATTACCTACTGAAGTGAAACATACACATACCATATGACCCACTAATCCCAATACCCAGAATGCATGCCGTAACAGCATAACAGCATTATGCATATCATAACAGCTGTCACATTCATAACAGCATTATCTATATCAGCAGTTCTCAATGTGTGGGTTGCGACTCACAGGAACTGTATTAAAGGGCGGTGGCATTAGGAAGGTTGAGAACCACTGATCTATACTCATAATAGCCTACCCAAATACCCAACAGCAGTAGAATGGAACACTTAGTTGTGGTGTAGACATACAATTTGTGGTGTAGACATACAATGGAATACTACGTAACCATGGAAACAAGCAAATTATAGTTGTACACAATTTAGATAAATCTCAAGAACATAATACGGTATTGAACAAAAAAAGCCATACATAAAGAATACATAGACTAAAAATAAGCAAAACTAAACGCTAGAGCTATAAATCAGCATAGTAATTACTTTTGGAAAGGAGAGGGGCCATAAGAGAAGCTTCTTGGGTACTAGTATTATTCTATTTCTTGGAATACTGGTGGTGATTTTTATGAATAATGAGTCCACAAGTATAGCTTTGTCATAACTGTTTAAGTAAAAGGAACTGTCTAGCATCTCTCACATAAATCAAAAGCCAGGAATGATTAAGCTTAGTGAGGAAGGCACATCGAAAGCCAAGAGAGGCCAAAAGCAAAGCCTCTTGTGCCAAACCATTAGCCACATTGTGAATGCAAAGGAAAAGTTCTTAAAAGAAATTAAAATTGCTCCTCCAGTGAACACATGAATGATAGGAAAGCAGAACAGCTTTCTTGATGAAAATGAGAAAGTGTTAGTGGCCTGGATAGATCACACCAGCCACAAAATCCCCTTAAACCAAAACCTAATCCAGAGCAAGGCCCTCTCTTCAATTCTATGAAGGCTGAAAAAGGTGGGAAAGCTGCCGAATAAAATCTGGAAGCTACCAGAGGTTGGCTCATGAGGCTTAAGGAAACAGGCTATCTCCAGAACATAAAAGTACAGGGTGAAGCAATATGTACTGATCCAGAAGGGCAGCTGGTTATCTAGTTAATGATCATTCATGGAGGTAGCTACACTAAACAACAGATTTTCAATAGGAAATATGAAGTGGAAGTTGGCCCAATTACTTAGTTTCCTGTAATGAGAAGTCCCTTTTGCTTATGATTTTGCTACTTCTTCCCATCTTCTGAGGGAAGAAGATGCCATCTAGGACTTTAATAGCTAAAGAAAAGTTAACGCCTGCCTTCAAAGCTTCAAAAGACAAGCTGGCTCTTGTTAGGGACCAATGCAACTGGTGACTTTAAGTTGAAGTCAGTGTTCATTTACAGAAAAACTCATGTAAGATCCTTAAGAATTTCGCTAAATCTACCCTGGCTGTGCTCTGTAAATGGAACAATGAAGCCTAATGACAGCACATCTGTTTATAGCATGGTTTAATGAATGTAACAAGCATACTGTTGGGACCTACTGCTCAGAAAAATAAGGCTCCTTTCAAAATATTACTACTCATTGATAATGTACCTGGTCACCTAAAAGCTCTGATGGAGATGTAGAAGACTAATGTTTTCATGCCTGCTAATATAACACCCATTCTGCAGCCTGTGGATGAAGAAGTCATTTCAATTTTCAAATCTTATTATTTAAGAGATATATTTTATAAGTCTATTGCTGCCATAGATAGTGATTTCTCTGATGGAGCTGGGCAAAATATCTTGAAAACCTTCTGGAGAGGATTCACTATTCTGGATGCCATTCAGAATATTCATGATTCATGGGAAAGGTCAAAACATCTACATTAACAAGAGTTTGGAAGAAGTGGATTCTCACCCTCATTGATAACTTGGAAGGGATCAAGAATTCAGTGGAGAAATTCAGTGCAGATATGATATAAATAGCAAGAGAACTAGAATTCGAAGTAAAGCCTAAAGATGACTATATTGCTCAAATCTCATGATAAAACCTGAATGAGGCTGGGCATCATGGCTCACACCTGTAATCCTAACACTCTGGAGGGCCAAGGAAGGAGGATCACTTGAGGTCAAGAGTTTGAGGCTCGGCGCCTGTGGCTCAAGTGGCTAAGGCGCCAGCCACATACACCTAAGGTGGCGGGTTCAAATCCCCAGCCCGGGCCCGCCAAACAACAATGATGGCTGCAACCAAAAATGGCCAGGCGTTGTGGCAGGCGCCTGTGGTCCCAGCTACTTGGGAGGCGGAGGCAGGAGACTCGCTTGAGCCCAGGAGTTGGAGGTTGCTGTGAGCTGTAATGTCACGGCACTCTCCCCAGGGGGACAGCTTGAGGCTCTGTCTCAAAAAAAAAAAAAAAAAGAGTTTGAGACCAACCTGAGCCAGAGTGAGACCCTGCCTCCACAAAAAATAAAAAACTTAGCTGGGTGTGGCCGCATGCACCTATAGTCCAGCTACTCTGCAGGCTGAGGCAGGAGGATCTGTTGAACCCAGGAGTTTGAGGTTGTTGTGAGCTAGGCTGAAGACAGGGCACTCTAGCCTAGGGCAACAGAGTGAAATTCTATCTCAAAAAAAAAAAAAGAAAATTTAGTTTAGGTCTGCTTCTACTGCTGTATTACAGTTGCATGATCATTAGCAAATGGCAACATCTGCAAATTGTGACTGTCAATAGTACCTATGACACACTGGCTATGAGGACCTAATGTGCTCCAGGCATACAATAAACACTAAGACAGAGCCATTTGTTTTTTTACTGTTTTTCACCTCCTCAGCTCCCCTCACGCTGATGGGATAAGGAACCATCCTTGAAGTGCTCTGAGCTCTGTGGAGGGAAACTGAGGTCCAGATTCAGATCTGGGATGAAGAGTCACCTGTACAGAGCGCCCGATCCTCACCCCTCGCCTCAGCACCAAGTAGAGAGCATCTTCATCCCTGACTGTGGAACGCTTCTCTGCAAAGGCCAGGAAGGTGTGGAAGGGAGGCACATAGAGCAGGGCTGGGATACGGTAGGTAATCCCTTTCTCATCTTCCTGCTGGAACAGACAGCTGTTGATGGTGCATGATGTCACTTCTTCTATGACGTCTGCAAGGACATGAGGCAGCTCAATATGTGTCCATCTCCATATGCTGGCCTGCATATCAATTTGGTTCTATTGGCTAGGCGTGGTGGCTCATGCCTATAATCCTAGCCTTCTGGGAGGCCAAGGTGCGTGGATTGCTTAAACTCAGTTGTTTGAGACCAGTCTGAGCAAGAGTTTCCTAAAAAATAGGAAAACTGAGGAAAGAGGATCACTTGAACCTAAGAGTTTGAGGTTCCCGTGAGCTATGATGATGCCACGGCACTCTACCGAGGTTGATAAAATAAGACTTTGTCTTGAAAAAATATATATTTTTTGTTCTATCATTCCATTTCTAAAGAGTAAAGGGGAGGTGCAGATGTACTCAAAGGTAACGTATGATCTCAGTGGCACAAAGCAAGCAATATACATTCTCATTTAATAAATCTATTCTCCAGACTGAGAACCCTAAGCAGCCAGTGTCAAGTATGTATCTCTCCAGAGATGTTCTGCACTTGTTTCTGCCAAATATCTGCCATAATAACCTACTAATCTAGGGCCATTACCAGCCTGGGCTAGTTTTTAATGTTATTTTCTTGGCTTGGAGTTTCTGGGCCACTCAGGTAATATGAATATAAACTCAGGTCATGAGTGAATGCCAATGGTTTAGAATCGTCTGGGAAAACTTTTTTCCTATATAAGAGGCTAGGATAAAAGGAAATCTTCCTTGTCATCTCATCTCTCCATGACAGTGGGGAGATTTTTTTTCTTTCTTGGTTGCTATGGTTTGAGTATTTGTCCCCTTCAAAACTTATGTTGAAACATAATCCCCAATGGGACCGTACTGAGAGATGGGGCATTTAAGAGGTGATCTGGCAATGAGGCTCTGCTCTCACGAATGGGTTAACAAATTAATGGGTTATCATGGGAGTGGCATTAGAGGCTTTATAAAAGGAGAGAGATCTGAGCTAGCATGTTAGCATGCTCAGCCCCCTTATCATGTACTGCCCAGCAGTGCCTCAGGACTACAGAGTCCCCATTAGCAAGAAGCCTGCAGCAGATGTGGCTTCCTGCCTCCATAATTCTAAGAAATAAATTCCTTTTCTTTATAAATTACCCACTTTCAAGTATTCTGTTATAAACAACAGATAATAGACTGACACTAGTCCACCATATCAGAGGATGTACACCCTACACAGAATATAGATTTTCAAGGGACCTAGCTTGCCTTGGGATCTCAGTCCCAACTATATTCTAACCCATGTGGCTTTTTTTGCTAACAACAGTACTAATAAAGCCCAAAATTCTGCATAAGTGGGACCAGCAAATACACAGTGTAGCTGGGGGCAGGTTAAGGAGCAGACTACTCTGTTTACAGTTCATGCTTGGTAGGCTCTGGAAGATTTCTCTTACTTTCTTGCAAATTCAGCTACTTAGGGCTTTGTTATATTTTATCCATCATTTACAAGTTAGTCAGCCTGCCTTAATGCTGACAATGAAAGCTTCCAGGTGCTTGTCTCAAAGAATTCCAGGTATTCCACTTCTCAGAGGCCCAAAACAGCAATTAAGCCAAAGAGACAAAAAACAGGCTTAGAATTACATTTTTCTCAAACCCTCTGTCATCTGTTGGGGTGCAGCCCCCCCCCCC